GTAGTGGTGTTGTCCAGTTTTACCTTGGGGAAGAGCACCTCATTTCGTTGCCCCCACTTGTGAGCGCAATGACAAATAAATTTCTTATCTTATCTTATCTTATCTTATCTAATGCTGGCTTCTGTGTAGTGTTTTAATATGGAGACACAGAATTTCCAGAAATTTTAATGCCATAGGAAAACAAATCAAATTTATTAGGGGCGGGTGGGTATTGAAATGTATGCGATATTTATTTTTTTTCACGCCAAACCTGAATTTCTCTTACTGCGCTTAACAATATCCATGTCTCATTCATAAGTTAGTTACCAAGTAAGATTGCACTATAAGCATGACAAGTGAGCCTTGTCTTTTCATGAAAAGTCAAAGCACAATAAGCTCAGCTTAGTTATTTTAGCTTCTAATAGGAGAATTCAGGCTTCACTTGATCTAGAACCTACAGTACTGTACTTATTTGTCTTTTGGGTGGTCTGTGGCATTCATAAATCTTTCCTTCACACCACACCATGATTTAATAGATGTTTGCTCACTTCTCCGACATTTTTCCAGATTTTTATAGTTCTGAGTCAGCTGAGTTCATCAACACAAATCTGTTCTTTATATTGTTTATAAACTTTAACATTCTTAAAGAATATTATTGAAGTTATATTTTGGGACTATGATTGTTTTAGTGTTCTTCTTCAGCTTTGCTCTAATTTTTGATACTGACACTTTATGGTTTATACCACGGTCTTGTTTTTGCAGGGAAAACAGATATCCTCCCTCTTCTGTTCTAAGTTACATAATTTATTTGGATGCTGTACTGACCATCTTGTGATATTTATATGTACAATCATCTGTTAGACTGCTTGCAATAAACAAATGACCAGCTTCAGGGAATACTATGAATTGCTTCACTGCTTTGCTCCAATTTCAGGGCCACACTCTCTAATATTTTGTTCTGTTTTTCTCCCTACGTTTGCATTTCAGTTACCTGTGCCCTTTCAACTTACTTTCCATGAGATCTACCGTATTTTTCGCTCCATAAGACGCACCTTTCCATAAGACGCGCCAATTTTTTAGGAGAAGAAAACAGGAAAATATAATCTGTTTTCTTTGCTCCATAAGACGCACAGACTTTCCACCCCCCTCTTTTGTGGGGGAAAAGTGTGTGTTATGGTGCGAAAAATACGGTAATTGATATTATTCTGTAACATTCTGCATTATAGCCCATAAGTGTTCATGTTATTTCTGTATTCGAGATTAGACTACTCAGTACCAACAAGCGTTAGCGTGAGCATCAGTGCTATATAGACTATGAAAGATCCTCTGCCGGTTTTACCTACAGAAGGGACTTTCAGTTTGACACGCATGGGAAACGTACACAAGAGGCTGTCTTACTTTCATTTTCAGATTCTTGCATTAAGTTCTGAAAGAGAGTTTCCAAAATCCAAACGCTTTGTTTTGATGAAAGAACCATAAAAGCTTTAGATTCTTATTTGTTTCCCTCTCTCCTTGGCTTTTTCCCTTCACCTCTAGTCTGTCAAATCATCTTGGAAAGGCAATTCATCAAATTAAATAGGATAAACAAGGGCTGCTTGCCCTTGTCCCCCTTCACAAGGGAAGAAAAATTTTTAGCTTTAGAAGGGCATGAATGGTTTGGAACCCAGTAAAGAATGTTCTTGGCTTCAGTCCTTCTTTATAGGTCAGATCTGTGTGCTGCTGAGCTCCATCTTAAGTGTGTTCATCCATTTTATTTATTTATATTTATTTATTTATTTATTGGACTTATATACCGCCCCATAGCGCTACAAGCACTCTCCGGGCGGTTTACAATTTTAATTATAAAGGCTACACATTGCCCCCCCAGCAAGCTGGGTACTCATTTTACCGACCTCGGAAGGATGGAAGGCTGAGTCAACCTTGAGCCGGCTACCTGGGATTTGAACCCCAGGTCGTGAGCACAGTTTTAGCTGCAATACATCGTTTTAACCACTGCGCCGCGAGGCTCTTATTTTGTCTTCCTCCCCCCTCCCCTATTGCCATTTCTTAGGATTATGTTTGCTGCTGTCACCCAACAGCCTGCCTGTGCTACCAGATTGCCTCTTTGGGATTATCGTTGGGATTTCCCAGCCCAATGTTTTGTGGATTTCCCCCACTCTTTCTCCCCACCCTTTCCTTTCCTCAATTATTTCTGTTTCCTGCTGCTAAGTATTCGAAGAAAAGATGAAAACACATCAACAACAGGGGATAGATAAATCCTCCCACGTTCTAGTTGTTTTCGTTGGGGAGGTTGAGGGTGTATCATTGCTTTTAATAGATTCCTGCTTTTCTTCCATTTAGCGGGCAGCACATCTGTTTTGAAAGGGACGTGGTAGCACTGCGGGATAACCCGCAGAAGCCTCTGGGCTGCAAGGTCGGAAGACCAGCCGTCGTAAGATCGAATCCACGCAACGGAGTGAGCTCCCGTCGCTTTGTCTCAGCTCCCGCCAACCTAGCTGTTAGAAAGCATGCAAAATGTGAGTAGATAAATAGGTACCACCTCGGTGGGAAGGTCATGGCGTTCCGTGTCTAGTTGCGCTGGCCACGTGACCACGGAAGATAGCCTTCGGACAAAAACGCTGGCTCTATGGGTTGGAAATGGGGATGAGCACCGCCCCCTAGAGTTGAACACGACTGGACAAAAATTGTCAAGGGGAACCTTTACCTTCACCTTACAGTACATCTGTTTTTTTTGTATTTTGCCCTTCCCCCCCTTTGTTTGTGTGCGGAGAGGATGTCTTCTTTGATACACTGACTTTAAAAAAATTGATTAAAATAATAAGTTTAAAATATATTTTTTTAAATGTGTTGTTTGGTTAATTTACTGTGGATTGCCACCTTTATTTTGCCCTTCCCCGCCTTTGTGTGTGGGGGGGAGGATGTCTTCTTTGATACACTGATTTTTTTTAAAAAATGATTAAAATAATAATTTAGAAATATTTTTTTTAAAAAATGTGTTATTTGGTTAATTTACTGTGGATTGCCACCTTGTCTCAGCATTTTTGTAGTGTTCAGAGCATTCTTTGCCATTTCTGAGCCCGTGCGAGACAGAACATGGATGGGGGAACATGTAACAAAACAATCCCAAAGAGTAGGTTCCTTTTGTATTTAAAGAACTGACAGAACCCGAAAGGAAATAAGCCCCCCCAAAGTTTCCCCACGCACATCCCTAGGGTCACCATCCATTACTGCAGCGGCTCAAAAGATGGACCTTCAAAATCTCCTCCATTCCCTCAATGCCACTGGTATGGTCCTTTTTTTCCCCCCATGCAGCTGGTGGCTTCTCATCTGCCTGCACTTGGTTTATCTCAAAACTGTAATAGCTTTTGAATGGCAGAGCTGGAAAGGACCCTCCGGATCATTGGGTCCTGCCCCTCTCAAGGAGCCAAGGGGGGGGATTCGAACTCCCAACCTCTGGGTCCAGAGACGTAAGCCGCTGACCTATCCAGCAGTTCTGATGGTGGCTGTAAGTTAGTTCCAACTTGAGAACACACAGCAACGAACCACAAAAGGCACTGAGAAGACAGATGGAGGAATAAAAGAAACACACTGAAAAACAGCATGTTTTTTTTAAAAAAAATCCTATAATTGTAAATAGATTTGGCCAAATTATCACGGTGGGGAGAAGAAAATTTTTCAGAATTCTTGAGCCCTTTTCCAATTCAAACTACTGTATACCAAAGTGCAGTAACAAAATAATGTCTTTTAAAAAAAAAAGGTATAGCATTTTTAGAGTGAAGGGTGTCCTTCAACACAAACACACCCCTTTCAAAAGTGGGACACCGTGGGAGGTGAAATCCTGCCCCCTGTTAAACCTCTCCAAGCCCCAACCACACCAGGGCACGAGCCACCAATAAACTTCTTCTGCCGGTTTGTACAAAAGCAGTGGTTAAAAACACAAAGGGGCCTGATCCGCAATCCTTAAACTTCCACCTCAAACTGGGAAGGTTATAAGGAGCCGGTAAAATCCTAAACACACAAATTGAGGGCAAGACCCCATAAAACCACAAATCCTTTTTTTAAAAAAAAGCTGAATAACCAAGTTGAGGATCCCGGTGGAAGATACAACTTGACAGCTTAACAAAACTCAGGATCAGCAGCTTTTCTGGGGAGATCGCCGGGTGTTTAGGGAGAAGAGCCATTAAGCCGCAGGAGTCTTACTCCGAAGTAAAGAGGACAGGCGGAGTGACACTTTTGGTTTCACCCGCTCCTCGGCTGAGTGGTTCATTTTCACTCTCGGCGGAACAAACACGTGGAGAGCTTCTCTTTCTCTTCCGCATTCAACAAAGCTCGGCTACCCCACCGGTCAAGCGATCCTCAACCGGCTTACTCCCGAGCAAACAGGGTGGACAGGATGGCGCGGTAAGCCGAAGGGGAATCGGAAGGCAGCAAGGGGTGAGAATCGAGCCCTCGGAAAAGGCGCCCCGGCGCCCGATCCTTTATGCCAGCAACGTTTGCGCGGAGGGCAAAGGTGCGACCGCAGAAAACCCCCCCCAACTTTTCCCATCGGAGTGAACGTGGGGGAAAAAGGGGATCCGGAGCTGGCAGGCAGATCTCCTGCGCAACACGCCATTACGATGCCTTCCTTTGGGGCAGGAGAACGTCTTCCCTTCTCGCTTCCTCTCCATCCCTTGCCAGCAGCGGTTCGCCATAGCGCAACCCTAGACACCTCCGATCCTATGCAAGCCCTCCCCCTCCCAGCGAGGACAGGATCGCAAGCGGCAAGGCTCCCTGCGCCGATTGGGGCAACGCGTCAGCGCCCCTCGAACAACCGCCGGGATCGGCGCTCCAGGTAACCAGTCTCAGGATCGCGCTGCGCACCTCCATGGGGGCACCAATTCCATCGGATTCAGCGGGCCTTCCTGACCAGAAAACGGGCGCAAAAACAGGCGAGACAGAGAGCGAGATTGCGCGCACTGCCCCGGGGCCATGGATCGGACCGGGCGACACGCGTCCCGGCCTCTCCACGACCTCCCACTCACCTCTCGCAGGGGCCGGAATCCTCGGGCCTTCGCTCCCACGCTCTCCCATGGTCGAGGAGCGCCGCGGACCTTCCGCGATCCTTCGGATCTTCCCCCCCCGTTCCCCCGACTCTTCTTTCCCGACTCGTCGCTCCGGATCGGCTTCTGTTTCACCCGGTTTAAGTCCCCGAGGCCAGCCAGGGATTCCTTCACGTCGGAACCGGCGCGGGGGGGGAGCGCCGTCCTTTGCCCCGCAAGGTCCTCCTCTTGCTCGCGTGTCAGGCTCGGGATCGGCCCCGCAAACCGCGCAGAAAGAGAGAAACCCCCCAAAAAGCACTCCCTCCCTCTCTTTGCGCCGGAGCCAAAACCACCACCGAGAGAGAGCGCGCGCCCGGCGGAGGCGCAAAAGCGGAGCGACTTCGGTTCCAACTCCTCCTCCTCCTCCTTCTGCGTGGAAACCGAGGAATCCAAAAGAAAGGGGAGGGGAAAAAACCAGGATAACGACCCCCGAGACGGTAACTTGGGGGAGGAGGAGAGAAGTGCCCCCCGTCCTCTCTCTCTCCTAAAAGGGGGTTCTCCTCTTGCGCGCTCGGGCGCTGCGCAACCGCGGCGCGTTTTTACGCGCGGGCTTGGCGAGGGCCTGGAGGCGGCCTCGGAGGATCGGGGCCGCCGCCGCGCAAGGGCTTCGGGAGAAGGGGCTACATGTCCGACCGTCGCCTTTTGGGGGGGAGTAGAGGGGGGGCAGGCACGGCCTCATCCGCCTTACCCCAGGAAGTGAAAGCCCTCCCTCTCTTTTTTTCTCTCTTTCCCCTTTCCGTGCAACGAAAGAGGAGACAGAAAGAAAGTGAAAACTGACCCGGAAAGAGACCGGCTCTTGGCACCGCTTTCACTTCCGGCCGAGCTTTAAAGAGCTTTGCTCTTTTTTAAAAAAAAATAAATCGCTTTTTTCTCCTCCCCCCCCCCCCCCTGGCAGGCACGAAGGACTGGCCCTGAAATCAATCAATCAATCACACAAAAAAGAGGGGGAGATGTTAAGACGTTTATTTTCAACGCCTAGGATAAAGGGGCACCCTTTTTTTTTGGATTGGCTTGGGAATGTTCGTTTCTGCAACCGGGAGGTGCAAATGCTGGGGTCCCTCCTGCAAAAAACAAAATTAAAGGGAGGGGGAGCCGGGGAGAGGCTATGGGGCAAGTCACCCCAAAATAAACAGGGGTGGGGAGGGGGGTCTTTAAAAACAACAACAGGGTTTTGGGGTGCAAGAGAAAGACCAGTGAGAGGGGGGTCCCTTCTTGGCATTTGCTCCCAAAGGAAACCGAAGACCAGACAGGGAAAGGGGGTGGTTTTGGGGTTCAGAAAGTGGTGGGCTGAAAGAAGGAAGTGTTAAGAGTGGAATTGTATTTATTATTTGTTTAAAATAACACACACACACACCTTTTCTCCTTTAAAAGAACCGAAGGGGTTTTTACATCCTTGACAGACAACATTTAAAGCAGGAAACAACAAGTCAAGACAAGGGTGGGTTGACATCATGAAAAGACACAACATTTGAAGCTAAGAACAAAGAGTGGAAAGAGGCAGCCGACGTCATAAAAAGACAAGATCGAAGCTAAAAGACAGTAAGTATACAAAGGACTAAAAAGGATCAAACAGATCCCACTCGGAGAGATGGCCAATACAGAGAGTACTAAAGACACAGAGCAATAATACATAACAAGCCCTCCGAAGGAAAAGAAGGAGGACGTGCTTACCGTTTGGGGGGTTTGGCTGGGATTGAAAATGTCGATTTTTTTCTCCCACATTTTCCTAGCCAGTGTGGTAGCTGATTTCTGGTTTTGTTTTTTCCCCTCATATGGTAGATGTAGAGATCTGAATCAGGCGGGTCAGGGAGGACCGAGGCACTTGGCCATCCAGAATGAGGAGCAAGTGTAATTGTAACTAGAGGTGCACCCTGCTTGCCAGGGGGATGCTGGGGGTTGTAGTCCAAAATTTTTATTTATTTATTTATTCCATTTATACCCCGCCTATCTGGTCATATTGACCACTCTAGGCGGCTTACAGCACAAAACAAAACCAATATATAATTAAAAGCAATTTGTACACAATTAAAATTCTATAAGATGGAAAGGGAAAACATAATAAAGAAAGCAAGAGAGAAGAGAAAAAGAAGAGAAAAAGACCAAACCTGCCCAGTTCAGGGGTTCCCAACATGTTCTGGGACTACAACTCCCAGAAATCCTAGCCAGCGCTGCTAGCGCCAGGAGCTTTAGTCCAAGAGGATCTGAAGATCCAAGGTTGGGAACCACCACTCTAGTCATTAACACTGGATTTCCATGACAGCTTGTTTCAAACACTCCTGAATCTCATATTCCGATTCCTTATCAACAACACAGAAGGTGCTTTTGTGTTCTTGTCTGCCATCAGATGGTTCATTCAGAGAGACAGAGGCCATCTCCAAATCTCTTGTCTGGCTCAGCTCTTGCAAATTCAAGCCTGTGGGTTCCTTTAGGGAGTCCGTCCGTCTCATGCTTGGTCCTCCTCTTTTCCTGCGGCCTTCCGCCTTTCCCAGCATTAGTGTCTTTTCCAGAGAATCCTGCCTTCTCAGGATGTGGCCAAAACAGGACAAGTTCAGTTTCCCCAGTTTTGCTTCCAGAGACTGTTCAGGCTCGATTTGATCTAGGACCCCTTTGCTCAGCTTTCTGGCCATCCAGGGTATCCGCTAAGCTCTCCTCTGGCACCCCATTTCAAATGAATCAGTCGTTTTCCTGTCCGCTTTCCTCATTGTCCAGCTTTTACATCCTTAACATACTGATCAGAAATACAAGACTGTATATGATCTCAGTCTTGGTTTCCAGGGACACATCCTTACACTTGATTATCTTTTCTAATACCTTCACCACTGCCTTTCCAAGACTCAGCCTTCTTCCAATTTCTTGGCTACAGCCTCCCTTTGGATGGATGTTTGAGCCAAGATATACAAAATCTTTTAACCATTTCAATTTCTTCACTGAACACAGAGCTACTGACAGCACAGGGGGACTCGCCGTGAACTAATGTTTCTGCATTCTAGAAAGCCAGTAGCCCTTCCCTCCACCTGCATTGGGGTGCAGAAAAAAATCACAGGAGCTAGATTACAGGTTTATCACATCACTGTTCCCCAAAAACGGTCTCTCTCCTCTTGTCCCTTACACAAGATGCAGGTAATAACACAGGATGACATTAAAGGATTGTTACCTTTATTTAGTGCAGGCTTTTAAAAAATGTAAATCTTGCATGCTCTTATTAACATACCACCAAGTCACTTCCAAATTAGGGCTGCATCACGCATGCCAAAAGAATCCCAGTTATATCCATTCTGCCGTTATTTGAATCCTTTTGTAAATTTCTATTCACATTGATTCATTTGGCTAGTCAGTCAGGGGTTGTTTTTCACTTGACCGGTATGGTTGTTTTATAATGGACCAATCCCTGTATTGCTTCAATCTTTATTGCTTCAGCGCGTGTGAACGTAGCTGTTTATTTTATTTACTTTGCAAACAAGTTTGTTTTTTGGGCGGGCACCAAGGCCACTGAATGCCCACCATGCTTGTATCCCCCTTTTTTAATTTTAAAAAAATGTTTAGCGATATATCACTTAATATCGATGGAAAGTTCTTGCAACAGCAGCAGCAACAGTAATACAGTACTGTATGTTGTCCTTCCTAAACTATCCCCCAACCCACCTAAAAGACCATCCCTCAGGATGTGTGTGTTTGTTTATATGCCACATTTCTCCTAACAAAGGGACCCAAGGCGGCTCACAGCATTAAAATTCACACAATTAAAATACAATAAGTTAAATATTAAAAGACAAATTAAACAATATGTGATTTTTTTAAAAGATTAAAACATGGAAACATGGCAAATAATAATAGAACTAAATTAACCCGCCCCCTCTTTGAACCTCCCCCAGCCCAAAGCGAGCCCTCAAAGGCATGAAGAAGATTCACACATGCAGTCTCGTGTAACTGTATATAAAATGCCCCTTTTGCCCGAGCAAAATGTCACAAGCGCAAAACATAAAATGCCCCATTTGCCCGAGCAAAATGTCACAAGCGCAAAAGCAGCCATGAAATGGAATCCAATCTTTTCTCCGGCCTTTCTCTGCTCTCAGTGAGAAGGATCGGCTTCACATCTATCACAAAAAATGTAGGGTTGCAAAGCCAACCTCACAAAAATCACATACAATCTCAAATTCTGTATCTAACCTACGTTTCACAGAAATGCCCACCAGTTTCTCAACCTTTCTATCGATGTCAATTAAGTCATCCACATTTGCACCTAGAGGGGAGCAGTGGTTAGAGCGCTGCTCTTTCTCATGTCCGCTTTATGCCCATTAATTCTTTTGCGTTAAATGGGCATGAACATCTGTTGTGGATATATATATCTGAAATAAATCATGGCAACACACAGTAATCTGTATTGGAACATTTCAGTCTACCTGGATCCTCTTTAAATGACCTGAATTAGGAAGAAACATTACAGAACTGGACTTCAAAGAGAACCGCTGAGATAAGGTACATACGGATGCTGGAGAGCCCATCCAAAAGGATTAAACATCAATCAAGGCATCCTGATTCATAAAATTTTACCGTGGCTCCCACAGTCTGCCACTACTATTGTTACCTTGTAGATTCATAGAGTAATAATTGAAATTATTCAGTCTGATCACCATATTTCTTTACTGTCCATTTGTCTGTTAGCTGTATCCCCACCTGAACACAGGACAGTATATAAATATGACAGTTCTATAGTCTCCTTTGAATGCCCGAGGAAATGGCCATGACCCATGAAAATTCCCATTAAAATACAGCATTTCATCTTTTAGATGTCACAATTTTATTTTTTATTTTTATTTTGGGTCTGATCCATTTGGGCAGATTAAAAGGGCTACTGTTGTTGCAAACCACAACTGAAAAAGTGTCCCCCTGTCCCAAAATCATCTCTTTGCACCTAACACTCTGTGGACAGACCTGGCTTCAAAAAAAAAAAGTAATATTTTAAAATCCACAAGAGAAAACTTTGCTTTCTCAACACATTGTCCCACTGACCTTAAAGTTGCTTTTCTGATGTTAAAAAAAACTTCCATTCCAGGACAGGTTAGAACCAGCAATATTAGAAAAGTGGTAAAAATGTTCAAGTCCCATCTCTAGAGATTTGAATCCCAAAGGTTTCTTATCAACCCAAAATTGTGTGTTGATTGGCTGACCTCCGGGACACTTGTATGATCAGCAACAGCTGCTTTGTGAATAGCAACTGTTAGTAATGTAATGGTCCTCCGAGGAAGGAGGCCCTAATCCGCACCAGTCTGTTCCATAATCAACGTTTTCGCTTTTTAATTGCCAAAAAACGTGTGGTTGGCTACGCTGCCCAAATATCATCAGTGCTGTCACTCGAGAAGCCAAGAAGTTGCCTATTTTTATTTACAGTATTTCATTAGTTCGGAAGAGTGACCGCCACAATCTCCTGTCCTCAACAGTCCTGTTGAGCATCTACAGACTCAACCCTGTGGCTTCTTTTAGGGAGTCCGCCCATCTCACATTTTGGCCTTCCTCCTTTCCTGGTGCTTTCAACTTTTGCCAGCGTTATGGTCTTTCCCAGAGAATCTGGCCTTCATATAATGTGCTCAAAGTAGGACAGCCTCAGTTTCTACATTTTTGTCTCCAGAGAGGTAGTTCAGGCTGGATTTGATCTAGGAGTCTAGCACCCAGTGGGGGGGGGTGACCCCCCAAATAATAAGTGGAGGGCACCCACTTATTATTGGGGGTGGCGGATCCCAAGGTTCTTTCTGGTGGACCCTCGGGCCTGTTTACACACAGAATGTGCTCAAAGTAGGACAGCCTCAGTTTCTACATTTTTGTCTCCAGAGAGGTAGTTCAGGCTGGATTTGATCTAGGAGTCTAGCACCCAGTGGGGGGGGGTGACCCCCCAAATAATAAGTGGAGGGCACCCACTTATTATTGGGGGTGGCGGATCCCAAGGTTCTTTCTGGTGGACCCTCGGGCCTGTTTACACCAGAGCTCAGGGACCTTCCTTGTTTGGACTACAAGTCTCAGAATCCCCAGCCATAGGAATTCTAGTCCACCCAAGTAACGTCACCAAGCGCTGGGGAGGAACGACCCTGAACGAGGAGGAGAGGCTCGTTTCTCCCCAGCACTTGGAGACGTTACTTGTAGTAGGAAAAAAAAGTAACGTTCCCAACCTCTGGTGTAAACAAGTCGTGATTCACGAGGCACGCCCTTTTGTTCTTCCCAGGCGGGCCGTTGAGGGAACGGTAGTTCCCCAAAAAGTAACGATTTGGGGAGGGCAGGATTATAAAGAGCCAGAAACAAACGGGCATTTGGCCGTTTGAGCTTCCTCCTCTTTTCAGTTCCTCCGCAGCGTTACAAAAAAAAAGGAACCACAAGCTCGAGGCCCGAAGAGGGGCGGGGAACTACAACTCCCAGCACCCCTTGCGGCACGCCGGCGCCTTTAAACGGCCGCGGGGCTCCTGCCGGAGCGCCAGAGAACCTCTGTCGCTGCGGCCGGTGACGTCACGCAAGGGTCTCCGCCGTCCCCGGGGGGCTGCTGGGAGTCGTAGTTTGCGGCCGGGAGCCATGGAGAGGACCGTGGCCAGCGGCTCTTTGCTGGGCGAGATTGGTGAGCGGGAGGGGAAGGAGAAAAGGGGGCTGGGGGCCCCAGATGGGTGGAAGGGGGCCGGAGAATATAAAACGGGGGCCCTCATTTAGGGGGGTCGGGAGCAGCCTCTCCGGCCAACCATCGTTTGGGGGTTATCCTGGGGACGAGCAGCCTTCTCAAGCTGCTAGACCTCAATAAGATCTTGGGGGTCACTGGGCAGGCGCGCCCACCCGGAAATGCCCGGGTACAACTGTGATCAGGACGGAAAACGGGGGCGAGAGAAAGGGCTGAGTTGTTGTTTGGGGAAGGGGTTGTTTTAGGAAGTCATTTCTATTTCTCCAATTCCCCCATTTCTGTATTATTTGAAGGTGTAGAGATGCAACCTTTCTACTTTTCCCGGGGGGGGAGGAGAGAATGAAATTTCCTGACGGCTCTTCAGCAGAGAGGCAACATTTCTGAAATTTTCAATTTTTTTCCAGGAGAAAAAAAAAATTCTCCCCCCCTTTTTAAAAAAAAAAAACATTTCCTAGGGGGGAATGGAAATTTTAAGAAATGTCACATCTCTCACCTGCTTTATGGACCCCCCCCAGTGGTCCCCCCCGGGGGAGAAACCATGTTTCTCATCCCTTTTTGGCTGGTTTCACTGGCATAGAAGGTGTGTTTATTCAATGAGTAATGTGTCATTATTTTATTTTATTTTTGCAAAGAAGGACATCGTCCGGGTGCCACAGTTATGCCCTAGAATGGCTAAGGTTCACCTCCTGCTTGAAGTATTCACCCCACGAATACATACCTAATTCTAGATAGCCTTGAAGAAAGTGAACCACAGTTTCCTTGGCAAGCATTCCCGTGTCCTAGTATGTCCTTCCCTTGAATTTGCAGCGGTAGGATCCAGATCTAGGAAAGGTTATCCTCCTTTTTTAAAAAAACGATATGTTCAATGTTACTGTCCAATGAAGTGGACTCGTCCACGAAAGCTCGCATTTAAAAAAAATCACACAAAAGTTAGTCTTTAAGGGGCCACCCAGTTTTTCTCCTTTTTTTAAAAAAATTATGATGTGTTTACACTTCTTTTTAAACGGTGTGTCCCCAGATCTTCCTGTCGGCCCTACTATAAACAGGTTGGGGGATGATGGAAGTGCTAGTTGATATTTCCAAACTCCAGGTGCCTTTCTGGGGGTCCTGGCATAGGGTGCTCTGAGGGTAAGCACTCTTACCAAAGAGTAACCTCATTGAACAAAATGGAGCTTACTGCTGAGTAAACAGGCACAGGGATCCGGGATGAATCTTTGACCGATGTTTTGCCCTTCTGTGCTTGGAGATTCGTTTCGTAATTGTTAATGTTAACCCATGTCATGTGCTGTGGTGTCAAACTGTTTATATATATATATATATTTTGGGGAACTGATGCCATGCAGATCCAGCACTGAGTGAGCAGATCATCAGCCAGCTATAAATATATATATATATAAATGATACCTAACTGAGGACCCGGGCTAAAATCCATTAATTCACAATTTGATTGTCCCATTCCTGTGTTAACGAACTAGTTGCAAACAGGACGTGGGTTGATTTCGTCTTTTTATCTGCATCGGCAGCCGGACATAAAGCTCACCACCCTGGAATAAATATTAGGAACCAGGTATATGTGCCCCCTGTGTCTGAAGAAGTGGGTTTTATTCCACAAAAGCTCACCCTAAAATAAATTTGTTTGTCCCTAAAGGGATACAATATGCGCGTCTCCCCCCCCTATTATTTGCAAGCATAGAGTGGTGTTTTCAACAATCCCTATAGATTTTTAATTTTTCCCTCATTTCTGTCCACCGATTTCCATATGCCAGGAATCAGAAATATCTTACATGACAATTTTCAACGTGCAGGATTCTCTGCATCTACTCGGAAGTAAATCCAGTGGGGTTTACTCCCACGTAACTGAACACAGGAACCTGAAGGACATTGACTAGGAACTAATTCCAAAATATTATTTTCAAAAAACCCAATGAAGATTTATGCATCCACAGGAATAAAGGCAAAATCCGTAGATGGGAAAACGTTTCGAGGATCAGCTGTAAATGCTCAAGATATATAAGATTTTGGGTTTCATTGAATTCTTCACTAGACCAGATGGTTCCAGGGAGGAGAGGGAGAAAATAGCATGGAAAACTCTCCATCTGGCTCTTTGAAAATACTGTTGTTATTGTCGTTATGTTCTATCAAGTTGCCTCCGACTTGTTGGTGATTGTATGAACGAGTGAGCTCCAAAATTTCCTGTCCTTAACAGCTCAGCTCTTGTAACATCAAGCTTGTGGTTTCTTTTAGGGAGTCCGTGCCTCTCGTATTCAGTCTTCCTCTCTCCCTGCGGCCTTTCCCAGCATTAATGTATTTTCCAGAGAATCCTGCCTTCTCAGGAGGTGCCCAAAGTAGAACAAGCTCAGCTTCAGCATTTTTGCCTCCCGAGATAGTTCAGGCTTGATTTGATCTAGGACCCCCTTGTTCGTCTTTCGGGCAGTCCAAGGGATCTGGAAAGCTCTCCTCCAGCACCACAGTTCAAACAAATCAATTCCCCCCCCCCTCCCCGCCAGCTTGCTTTACTGCCCAGCTTTCACACCCACACACGGTGACTGGAAAGAGGACAGCGTGGGTAAAATACTGTATACCTAATATTTGCCTCTAAGACTATTGAATATATATGGCCCACCTTCCCTCTTGTTTTTCTAAACGTTTGGCCTAGCGATGAGTTTCTAGAACTCCAAAGCATACACTTTGTGTGTGTGTGTGTGTGTGTGTGTACCATCAACAAAACGATCATCATCGTTGTCATCTTCGAACTACAGAGCTGGAAGGGGACCCTTGGGATCATCCAGCCCAACCCCTATCAAAGAGGCCCAGATGGGATTCAAACTCCCAACCTCTGGCCCCGCAGCCAGAGACTTCAAACCCCGAGTGATCCAGCCATTCAAAACAAAAATCAACAACAACAACAACAAAAAGGATCACGACACCGTAGGAACTAACAAGAGTTTTGCCTTGGGTCCTTTCGAGGAGAAAAGCAGGGTAGAAATATTTTAAATAAATCCATTATTCTGGGAGTTGTACTCCAAAGAATTATAACATTTTAATGTTCTGTATCCTTTCCCTCCTCACTAACGTTGCTGGCAAGGGGGAGGATGGGAGTTGTCATCCAACTGCATCTGGAGGACCAGGTTCCCCCAGGCAGTAGGAAACGGAGGGAGGGCGACTGAGGCCAGCTTGGAGAGAACCAGCTTCCAACGCCTGCTCAGCCGTTATTGGCATCGGAGCATCTCCCTAAAATCCACGACGTTTTCTCATTATTAAAAATGCTTCATGTCAGAAGCAGCTGTTTCAATCATAAGGCTGTGAAATCAAACTGGACCCGATAACCGGCCTTCCCCCCCCCCAAAAAAAATCCCTGGGATCTCTCTGTGAAACTAAGCCATTTCTCCAGGATGACTCCAAACAGACTGGTTTGCTCCCACACCTTTTGCTTGTTTTTCTTCCTGGCGGATGATCACTCTGGTCAATTTCCCCATCATCCTTCCCTCCAGGTTTTTGGGCCGACCGGACGCCCGTTCACGAAGCAGCCCGGAGCGGAGAGACCGTGCGGCTGTCGCAGCTCATTGAGAATGGAGCCTGTGTCAATCTGGTCACCTACGATTCCATCACGCCGTTGCACGAGGCAAGCCTGCGCGGACAAACCCAGTGTGTGAAAATCCTCCTGGCTGCCGGAGCCCAGGTAAGTGGCTCGGAGTGGCGCTGCTTGGTTATAGGGGGCTCGACTGTGCCGTTCCCTCTAACTTTCCTAATAATTACTTTCCTAGCTTGCAAGTAACTGGTGAAGTTACCTGCCACGGATTCCTTCTTGTGTAACGAGGGTGTAACTAGGTTGAATTTCTAAAACAATGTAACTCACCTTTGCAAACGAACTTTCTCCATAATGCTTTGTGTTCACTTTCAAAAGTTACATTTCATATTTGTTTGTTTGTTTGTTTGTTTGTTTGTTTGTTTGTTTGTTTATTTATTTATTTATTTATAGGCCTTTTTGGGAAGGATTTTTCAAGTTTTGTGCCACTTTCTTAGCCACTGAAAGTGCTTAGGAAAGCATTGTTCTTGGCCTTTTTTAAGGGAAGGATTTAGAAAGGAAAGAAGCACTAGAGATCGTATTGCACGGGTATGTTGGCTACAGGAATGTACCAAAGAATTTCTGAAGAAACGAAGTTTGTGCTTGATAGATGACGGCATAGCCCTTGACAGCGTGGATCTTGAAAAGCTAGGAATCGTTTCAAAAGAAATAGGTGTGCCACAACAATAGATTGTACTGACGTGTAACATAGGCAAGAGGGTTGTCAAGCAAGTCAAGCCTGAATTCTCACTCAATGCTAAAATAACAAAACGGAGACTAACGTGCTTTGGGCATATTATGAAAAGGTAAGGTTTGCTGGAGAAATGATAATGCCAAGAATAGAAGAAAGCAGTTTGTTGGTTGTAATGGCATCAGAAGTGTGTCTGTGTGAATGCCACCCAAGCCACGACGACTTTCTGCCAACTTACCAAAATCGTGCATTTCATTTGTACATGTGTTTGTAAGAGAGCCAGTATAGTAACGATGTCAGGCTAGAACTCTGGAGACCTGGGTTCAAATCCTGCTCAGCCATGGGAACATATGGAAGGCTGGCAGTGGTTAAAAGCACTCCTTAAACATCACCCATCTCTCAAAAAACTTGGCCCATTTGCTTTCCTCACCCCATAGGAGTCGAGCATCTTGGCTTGTGGGGGCCACAGGACTTTGCGACTGGGCTGGCCCTCCGTGACCACCAGCAAGCTGAATCAATCAGGTCCTGCTGGTCCCAGCCTTCACCTACCTTACCCAGTCCTGTCCAGATCATGGTGATCATCATCATCATCTTAGAACTACAGAGCTGGAAGGGACCCTGTGGATCATTAATCCAGATCCTGGAGGCACCGTGGAGAATCGAATTCCCAACTCCTGAGTTTTCCATTAGTTCATTAATATTAATCATCATCATCTTAGAACTGCAGAGCCGGGAGGGGACCCTATGGGTCATCCAGTCAAGCCCCTGTCAAGGAGGCGCCGTGGGGGGGAATCGAACTCGCAACATCTGGCTCTGCACGGGAGGGGACCCTACGGGTCATCCAGTCAAGGGAATCGAACTCGCAACTTCTGGCTCTGCAGCCAGATGCTTCCATGGGGCTACCCAGCCATTGGCTGCTGCCCAGATGCTTTAAGCCATGGGGCTACCCAGCCATTGGCTGCTGCCGTTTGCCACCGTCTCTGTTCTCACACCCCTCGGCGCACTGACGGGTTCCTTTTCCGATGACGTAGGTGGATGCCCGAAACATAGACGGCAGCACGCCTTTATGCGACGCTTGCGCCTCCGGGAGCCTGGAGTGTGTGAAAGTCCTGCTTGGACACGGGGCGAAGGTCAACCCGCCCCTCTACACGGCGTCTCCTCTCCACGAAGCCTGCATGAACGGTAAGCCCCCAGCTGCCCCGCTCCGCTCCGCATGGGCAGAGAGGAGGCTGCAGGTCCCGTCCCAGCCTGGGGAACCTCTTTGTATTTCTACGAACTCAAGAAGGCCACGCGGTCATGTCTGGTGCATGACAAACAGGTGGTACTGCAGAGGGTATATAACCCCGGGGAAATTAAATCAAATAGACGTATTAATTATCCCAGGCTGCGTGAGAAAGCTTGCCAGACAATGGGTACTTGTCTTCATATGTGGTGAGAATACAGTATATGGAAATTTTAGCCATTCATTTTTAAGGAAAGAAATGAAGCAACTAAGTTAAAATCAGGGGTACATCCTAAAACGGTGCTTTTATCAATATTTGATAGGGAGCAATAACATGCGACAACTAATGGCAATTTAATTTTCCAGTTTAAGAACAGTCTCAAGATTAATCACTAGGAACTCGGAAAACAACATGTAATTTTCAGTTGCCGCATTTTTACCTGTATAAGCTGATGTTTTTATCTTAAATCTTTAGACTAAAAATTGAGGGTCATTGTATACACGGATGTAAGGGGGCAAGGGACCAAGGCGCTGCAGGATTGCAGCCCTTCGATCCTGCAGCCCTTTGATCGCTGTTTTCCCCCTGCACTTCTCAAGTCCCACGGGGCTTAGGAAGTGCAGAAGGAAAGCAGCCACAAAAGGGCTGCAGGATCAAAGGGTTGTGATCCTGCAGCCTTTTGATTGCTGCTTTCCCCCTCCACTTCTACAGCCCTTTGATCCTGCTCAAGGCGCTGCAGGATTGCAGCCCTTTGATCCTGCAGCCCTTTGATCGCTGCTTTCCCCCTGCACTTCTCAAGTCCCACGGGGCTTAGGAAGTGCAGAAGGAAAGCAGCCACAAAAGGGCTGCAGGATCAAAGGGTTGTGATCCTGCAGCCTTTTGATTGCTGCTTTCCCCCTCCACTTCTACAGCCCTTTGATCCTGCTTTCACAGGGCTTAGGAAGTGGAGGGGGAAAGCAGCGATCAAATTTTCTCATTTGGGGTTGGAAAAGTGGGGGTCCTCTTATACATTGGGTCATCTTATTTATGGAAAAATACGGTAAATGAATCGTATAGAAGGGTGTGGGGTGTAGCTATTAATGACGAGCTAACGTGTAATATTAAAGTTAAGAAGGGGGTAATGAGTAAAAATTTATGTAGAGATATATGGGGAGAATTCATTGATTAATGTATTATTAAAGGGGGAGGGACATATTGCTTTCACAAGAATCAACACAATTTTGGAAGGGGAATGGGGCTCCCCTTGTCTACATCATAAGAAAGGGGACACCAGGTTGGGTGGGTGGGGGAATCTTGTTCTAAGCTTCCTAAGGAATTGTTTTCTATAATTAGGATGCTGTTCCAGAAAAGTCTGTCTCAGATGTCCCCAAAAACCTAATTTCTCAGTGTGGTGGGATTAGAGATGTGAAATGTCCGGAAATTTTGAATCTATATAAAATGGCTTTGGAAAAAAAGCAAACCTGTTCCCCCCCCCCTTTTTCCTTCCACACACACACACCCAGGCCTTCCCATCTCTAGGCACAATGCCGTCCAAGCTAGAGAGGTAAAATTTCCAGAAATTTTGAAGCCATTTAAAAGAGCTTTGTGGGGAAAAAACTGGGAATAAAACTGTTTTTTTCCAGGTTTTTCCAAAGCTGTTTGATAATAACTTCCACATTTTCAGAAATTTTTACATCTTTAGGTGGGAAATATAACATGAAGAGAACTGCAAATTATCGTCCGTGATTTTATTGATGTATAGAAGATTTTCCTGAGACCTGAAAGTCTGGGAGTTTTCTCTCGCCTGGAATGAAATGTGCCCTAATGATTTTTTTAGCCCTTTAATCGAGGCTCTGTGGATCTGGCCTCCCGGGTCCATTCTACCATTTCTTTTTCGCCCCAAAGGCAGTGCCGAGTGCGTGCGTCTCCTGATCAACGTCGGGGCGAACCTGGAGGCTCACGACTGCCACTTTGGGACCCCTTTACACGTGGCGTGTGCCCGAGAACATCTGGACTGCGTGAAGCTGCTGCTCAATGCAGGTAAACAGGGTCCTGCCAAAGGGCACTCTTTTCCATCGGCCATCGCTCGCAGTGGTTCAACCAAGGATGAGGAAGTGAGCCCTTTTGACTTCCCCAGGAAAAGCACCCATGGGTGGCCCCGCCAACCTCAGGACGTAGCTGGTTCAAGGTTCACTCAGCCTTCCGTCCTTCCAAGTTCAGTTCATTAAGTACTCTAGTTCCATGCTATGGGACACTCAGTGTGTTGTTGTTTAGTCGTTCAGTCGTGTCCGGCTCTTCGTGACCCCCCACGGACCAGAGCACGCTAGGCCCTCCTGTCTTCCACGGCCTCCCGGAGTTGGGTCAAAGTCATGTCGGTACACGCAATGTGTACCTTACATCATTTAACTGTAAACCGCCCAGAGAGTAAGTGCTGTGGGGCAGTCTCGAAGCAGCGCGCTTTAGGTCACTTGCTTTAGGGAGATTCACGAGTCCTACATTTTGATGAAAAGAAAAGTAGCTGGTGATGGTTGCGGGGGGGGGCATCTCATGGGATTCCCATCTGTGATCTAAGCCCAAAATAACAAGGCATGCTGGCGGAAGGGGGGGTCTTTCTCGGGGGGTGGGGGCCCCCTGTGTTCGTCCACCAAACAGCTCTTACTTTCTCTCTCTCTCTCCCCACTTTCCTCTCGGCCATCAGGTGCCAACGTGAACGCGGCCAAGCTTCACGAGACGGCCCTTCATCACGCGGCCAAAGTGAAAAATGCCGACCTGGTGGAGATGCTGGTGGAATTCGGGGGGAACATTTACGCCCGGGACAACCGCGGGAAGAAACCTGCCGACTACACCCGGAGCAGCAGCCAAGCGGCCAAATGCTTTGAGTATTACGAAAGTGAGTATGGTCCCATCCGGCTGCCGCCTCCCCAGGGCGGAGCGTTCTTTTCCTACGTCTCTTATTCATGTGCGGTATTTATTTATCTAAATTATTGATATGCCGTTTTTCTCCCCATAAGGGGGGACCCAAGGCAGCGAACAGCAGATAAAACGGCAGGTTTAAAAAAGACGATAAAAATACCATCTTTAAATCATCTTCAGTTTTTACTTGCTTGTCCCTTTTCCATTCCCCGTTTTGCCTTTCCGGAAACCCGGAGAGCTGGCATTTGTTTCTGTTCGGGCCCTTAGTGGACTTGGAAGTTAAAGCCAGTACTTGGGAAAGTCTGATTGCGGACGACAGATTCCAGCATCCCCCAGCTACCATGCCCTCCCCCCCAAAAAATAATAATAATAAAAAATAAAAAATCACCATTTCCACCCTCTGGATAAAGCTATGAATGGATTATAGTCATGACAGCTATGGGCAGGAGAGACCTGTCGTTCTGAGGTCGAGCATATTTGGGGGATGAGGTTCAGCCTCGTGGGAGAACCGCCCTTAAAGTTCCAACTGAAACCCCAAGCTCATTTCCGGCTCCCAGGAAATGGGAGTCCCCAGGGTCGGCTCTATGTTTATCAGCTCATCAAGATGCTGTGTGCCTTTCAGCACCACTTGGATGGAGACTTGATTGGGAGGCCATGCTTATGCAAAGTCGAAGCAAAGCAGGCTGCTTATGTACCACCCCATAGTGCTTAAAGCACTCTCTGGGCAGTTTACAATTTATTTACATATTGCCACCCCAGCAAGCTGGGTACCCCATGTACTGACCTCAGAAGGATGGAAGGCTCACTGAACCTTCAGCTGGCTACATGAGCCCATTGGGATCAAACTCAGGTGGTGAGCAGAGTTTTGGCTGCAGTACTGCAGTTGAACCGCTGCACCCCGAGGCTCTCGCCGTGCCCTGCGTTGTGGGTTCCGTTGAGGGCGTCTAGCTCACTGCTCTGGAACAGAATGCAGGACTCCAGATCCCGAACTTGTAAATGACCCACTAGAAGTCACTTACTGACCTGTAACTAGTTACTCTTCTCCATAAGGAGGGTGCAGCATTTCAAAAAACAGTGTAGCCAGTGACGATCGTGTTGTTAGATACGCCTAGGCAACTCATCTTTTCCAGTGGCTGGGTTTTTAAATCTCTTTTTTTTTAAAGGCAGCCATAGAAAGATTAGATGGGAAGCATTCAAATGCAATGACATTCTCTTGTTAAAGCTCTCCACCGTACAGATGCCACAAAAAGTGACATATAATGCAGCGCACAACACACTGGATTACTTTTTGAAGACAGAAACAAATTGGAGTCATAGGTTTTCTTTTCTAGGTGCTTCTGTACCCCCAGCAAAAAAAAAGGAGTGCTGTGCATTGATGGAAAATGATGGAAGCATTTCCTAAATAACTGGTCACTCTCTATCTTTAAAGACATTTTTACATGTCCAGAGGTGAATAATTGCACATTGTCAAGTCGGTTCCGACTTCTGGCCACCCTTTCCAGGGTTTTCCAGATAGAGGACGCTCGGAAGTGGTTTCCCCATCCCTTCTTCTGGGAGGGGGGGATCCCTGGGACTCCTGTGCAGCTGGCCCAAGGCTACCCAGGCTGGCTCTTCTCTTTGGAGATGCTCAGTGGGGGGAATCGAACCCCCATTCTCTGGCTCTCCAGCCAGAGACCTTAACCACAGAGCGATCCATCCAGTTCCAGAGGTGAAACATTAGCTGAAATCTGGTTGCTTGGCATCGTAAACTGCACAAGAGTAAGTCCCCTGAACCAATCGGGATTTACTGAGTCAACCCCTCTGCATGTTCCATTGATTCAAATGGAGCTTGCTCCCCTACGACTTACTATAGTATGTTGCCGTTAGAGTAAGCCTATTGGACTCAATGGACCTCCTAGCAGAATTAACTCACTAAATCTTGATGGTTTAAAGGAGTTACTCTCATGCCATTTACTGTACTAAGCAACAGGATTTGGGCCGTTATGTCCGCCCCCCTCGAACGGATTCCTTAAGTCTACGCTTGAACATTTTCCGAACGCTAGTTTGACTCGAAACTTTCAACAGCTGGACAGGGCTTTTTGGCCGGCGGTTCCGTCGCATTCCCGGCACCCTGATGAAAAGTCGTAGAGAATTAGAAAGTTGCTTTTTTTTCTCATATTACTTTAGGGGTCCCAAAGAGGTAACTAACCAGCCCGGATTTTGGACTTACCACACAGATCCGCTGGCTGTTTCTCTCTCTTTCTCTTTAATTTTAAAACATTGGCCGGGATCCTATTATTTTTGGCTGCTGGCCGAGGTCCATTGGCGTAGCGCTGTGCCACTAATCGCTGCTCGTTAAGAAGTTGGCGTGGGCGCTCAAGGTGGCCCACCGGTCACAGGACTCGGTGAGACTTTGGATCAAGCAGCCATTTATGCCAACAGATAGCCCTGGCATAATTCTTCAGTTAGATTCTGCGTATTGCAATTTGTAGCAAGAACATATTACTTAAAAAAAAACATGTTTCCAGACGTTGGATAGGTTTCTGGTTCAATGAGGCACTGTCCTTTTTTATATTACTGTATTTTTTAAAAAATTAAAAAATATTTTAACCAAATTCACCCTCCTTTCTCACCCTCTCTTTCGTTTCTTTCCGTCCTTTTTTTTATTCCAGAAACGCCACGCAGCTTGTCCCAGCTCTGTCGACTCAGCCTGAGGAGGGCCTTCGGCCAGCGTGCCCTAGAGAAAATAGCCCAGCTCCCCATACCTCCGCGATTAATCGAATTTCTGTCCTATAAATGATCCCTCCATCGCAGGCTGAGGGAGCCGTGGCCATATTCATCTCAGGCCATTTCTCCCTCCTAAGAAATGGTTTTAATTTCTTTTAATGGTTGTAAATGCTATTTATGAAGGACTCTGTAGTTTAAAGACTCATGAGTGGGGTCCCCCCTTTATAGCCGGTTCCTGGAATAGTTTGAAGGATCTTTCCAGAGCTGTTCTAAACACACATAAGCCTGCGCACACACTTCGCAACTACCTTGTACGGTATTCAAATCCCAGGATCACAGTTTGGGGGGGGGTCTGCTTACCTTGGGATATGCCATGCTTCCTCCCTATCATCTGGCTTCTCCGGGGTGGGGCAGGACACTGGTGGGGGGCAGACTGCACCTCCGGGGCCCACCCCACCCCATGGCGTAGTGATAAATTAGGGGAGTACAGGTGCTGCTTATGACAGTCCCCGTGCCCGACCCCACCACGGAAGAGAGTCGAAACATTGAAGGCTGCTGGATCGCTCCCTGTCATGAACGTGAGGAGCACGTCTTTGGTAAAGCTAACAGCTCTGAATTGCCTGCTCAGGACTAAGCCACCCTAAATGCTTTGCATTAGAACAAGGATCACTTGCAAGAACATACTAACCCACGGGGGAAAAATCCATTTCTCTCTTAGCTGCTGTGAGGGTTACAGCCAGCTCAGAGGGAACAGGAAAACTGGGGGTTGAGTGGGTTGGCGCTTGAGGTCTTGGCTACTGAGAAAGTCCCAGAACATCATCCCGGTCAGCCCTGACTCCACTACACACCACAGCTGTCCAATATTCTTAGATGCCCCATGGATTTCATCTAAGCTGTGTCGGACACCTGCTTTCCACCCTGCTAGCTAGCTGTCATAGTTGGTCACAGAAAGGGTTGAAATGGTGTGCCAACCTCTTCAAGGAATGACGTGAAAAGCCCTCTGTGTTACTGTGTAAGAATAAATCTTGGGTCTCCCTGTAGTTCAGGCGGCGTCTTTAGCTGTATCTCGGCTCTGCCACAGGCCTGCTCAGATCTAAGTCTGCCCTGGAGTTCTTGGTTTGCAGGCGGATTCAGGACAGCCTAAAGAACGTCCTTCAACGCAGCCATGTGCGGTGAAGGCCACCCTCCGATTTGGCTTCAGAAGAGGTTTGGATACATCCATGGCAAAGATACAGGTGGTGTTGCTGATAGCCAGGGTAGCTCCATGAAGCTTCCTCGTTCAGAGGCCTGCCCACCCTCACACCAGCCCCACCACCTGTGGGGGAGCATCAGTGGAGAAGTGCTGTGTGTGTGTGTGTGTGTGTGTGTGTGTGTGTGTGAGAGTGTGTGTGTGTGTGTGTGTGTGTGTGTGTGTGTGTGAGAGAGAGAGAGAGAGAGAGAGAGAGAGAGAGAACTCCAACTTCCAGAAGTCTTAGCCTCATCCGCCTTCTGCACCGGATTGCAGAAAGCCCTCTGCTGTCTGGCCAAGGGCAAAGGGGATCTGGGACTGGCAGACCCCAAGCGTGTCTGAATTAGTGCTGTGTGCAGCCAGTGGAAAAAGTGATTTGAGTGGCCATCATCACCTCTTCCACCAGTGAATCCCCTCTGTAAAATATGTGGCCCAATTTAAAAAAAAATAAACCAACCTCTGTTGTGAATCTGTTTCTTGTTCAAAGCTTCAGAATAAATTTTTAGTCGTTGGTTGTTGTGGGTTTTTCGGGGTTCTTGGCCGTGTTCTGAAGGTGGTTTTTCGTAACGTTTCGCCAGTCTCTGTGGCCATGGGCATCTTCAGAGGACAGCAAACTGTCCTTTGCTCACTACTTTTTTTGTAATGCCATGCTGTCAGAGGTTGAAAGTAAGTGCATCTTTTCCCCCTTCTTGCTTCTTCTCTGCTCTCCCATGTCATCCAGCCCCTCTTCTTTTTGAGTGTCTGTTATTCCTATTGGACCCTTCCCCCGCCCCCGATCTGTAGGATCAGTATCCATGGTTTCGCTTATCCACGGTGGGAAAATATTAAAGGAGAAAAACTAAAACTAAAATAAAATGTTTTTCATGGTGTATTTACCAGAACTGGCCACTAGAGGAAGCCATGGACCGTGCTATGTATTCTTGTGGAAGAATACATACTGTAGTCTCTGGCTCCCTCTATTGGCTTGTTTTGGTAAATACATGGTAAAAATATTTTTTCTGTTTTTTTTGTTTTTCTTACCACGCTATAGTGTTCAATATATCTGTGTCCTACTGTATCACCTGAGTCTTGCCGCTAACCACAAGGTCATGAGAGTTAAAAGAGGATAAAATTGCACAGGTTAAGAGCTCAACATGAGAGGGAACAGGTGGGCTTGGGTCCAAGCTTCAGAAGAAGAAGGGATTTTTTTAAATTATTATTTTTATTTAAAATATTTTTTCCCTGCTTAAAAGGACCCAAGGGGAGAACCTTCTATATAGGATTAGAGCCATGGTCTCTCCAGTCCAGCATCTATTTGGTGCTGAGAAATGTCCATTCTTTGCTCTGAGACTCCCAGAATTTTCCTGGTAACTCTTAATTTCCCCTCTTTTCCACGGAAGTCGAAAACAATGGGCACAGACCACAGAAGGGAAGACCAAGGTGACGCAGAAGCACTTCCCAAGACATTCAGACGGCTTCTGGGTTTCGGTTCTGCACTGAAATGAATAAGCTACCATTTTCCACCCGGGATTATTTACATCTACGTTCTCTTAGGAACGGAAAAGTTATTTGGGGAGTAACTGGTGTTTGTTGCGTCTCCGAGCTCAGTGGCTCCCATGCTTGGCTAGTCCAGGTGTTCTTGGACTACAATTCCCAGAAGCCTTCCCAATGAGCTGTGCTGGCCGGGGTGTCTGGGAGTTGCAGTCCAAGAACACCTGGTTGATCCAAGGTCGGGAACCCCTGTCCTAGCCTCTCAGTACCTAACTATCATTGCAAATCCATTTTTTTGTAAATTACTCAAATGAAGAGTTTTTTGCAAACCACTGGGATTGTTCCTTGCGGAGTGAAATCATCTGCAGGAAAAAAAAAACAGCTGGTCTTTCTACTGCATCCCTGTCCTAGCCTCTCACTACCTAATTATCATTGCAAATCCATTTTTTGTAAATTAAATGAAGAGTTTCTCGCAAACCACTGGGATTATTCCTTGCGGAGGGAAATCATCTGTAGGAAAAAAAAACAGCTGGTCTTTCTACTGCATGATATTTCTCCTCCAGCCACGATGACATGACGAATTGTAAAAATAACTAAGAACGTGCAGTTCCATGACGGGAAAAGGAGTTTAAAGTTCCCTATATGTGTTTTTTTGGTGGGTTTCCTATTCTGCCTTTCCTCACACAACCACCCTTCGAGGTAGGACGGGTGGAGAAGGACCGAGACGAGGCCAGGAACCTAGCTTTGAGAGGTGAACGGAGGCTACTTCGGAATCTCCCATGTCCAGACTTGGCAGCGCTTCTTAACACAACCTGGTGTCTTTGTCACAACCATGATGACTGACAACATCTGGAATGCATGGTTCTGTGATTTAGGTCTCTGGCTGCAGGGCCAGAGGTTGGGAGTTCGATTCCCCCACTGGGCCTCCTTGACTGGGGCTGGACTGGATGATGCTGAGGGTCCCTTCCAGCTCTACAGTTTTAAGATTATTATAGTTTAAAAAAATGTATTTTTGCAAGTTCTGGGCCCAGAGAAGCCATTCCTGTCAGAATATGTCCGCTTTCGGCTTCCAAATCTGCTCCGTTGGTTCACCTTGCCGCCACCTCACCCCATAGGTGGGCCTCTTCCTGAAAGCCGTCTTTGAGAGATTTCTTTCCCCCCTTTGCTCCCTTAACCGGTTCCATCTGCAAATCCCGCTCTTTGTTTAATTTGGACGCCGTCAAGGCGCTGAGCCTGGGAGGGGTTGGTTCAGCCTGACATATTTTCCGGTATAACCAAACCTCCTTGGTTTGTCGTACAGTAAAAGGAGCTGTTTGCGTGCCAAGATGTAGTAGGTGCTGGGGGTGGGTGGGGTTGGCGAGCTTTTTAAGTGTGTATACTCTGAACGGCCCAAAGAAGAGAGTGCTAGATCCAAACAAGCCTGAACCGAAGGCAAAAAGGATGAAACAAAGGCTTTTTCTCCTTTGGGCATCTCCTGAGAAGGCAGGATTCTCTGGAAGAGACGATAATGTTAGGAAAGGTGGAAGGGAGCAGGAAAAGAGGAAGACTGAACATGAGATGGACAGACTCCCTAAAAGAACCCACCGGCTTGAATTTGGAAGAGATGAGCCAGGCAGTCGAGCGCATAGCATTTTAGAGATCACCCGTTCTAGGGTCACCGTGCGTTTGGGGGCAACTTGATGGCACCACCACAACAACAACAACAAACAAGAGACTTACTTTGACACGCACTTCGTTGCGATCTGCTCCAACATTTTCTGGAGGAAAATTTTTTTAAAAAACAAACAAACACAGGAAATAGCTTTATAGGTGGAAACGAAATAAGAATAAAAAGTAAAAAAAAATATGGTGGCGCCTTAAAAACGAACATCTCTGTTTTTTTCAAGGTGAGCTCACACAGTGCAATTGGAAACAAAATCTCACATGATGGTGGGATTTAAAAAATGGATCGTTGTCACTTATACTGCCTTGAATGTGTTTTGGCCTGGCTTCTGGGTTTTTTTTGGGGGGGGGCTTTTTCAGCCGTGTAGTCATTGAATCTGTTAGTCTTGTATACTCGTTGTTACACCTCTTAAATCCCGTCTTTTCGTTGTTGTAAGCTGCCTTGGGTCCTTTTAAAGGCCAAAGACAGGTTAGAAATCTTTTACATCAATAAAATAAAAATGTGGGCCAGGCGATGCTCCTCTTAGGTGGGTTTGTACCTGGTAAGGACACCTCAGGTGCTCACCGATGGTACTTCATCACTCTGGAGAGAAAGGGCAGGTGGCATCCAATGGGGTCGTATCCTGGCCCCGGTGTCGTTCAAGCTCTTTACGGACGACCAGGGCGATGGACTGCAGGGGAGACTCTCCAAATGGGCAGATGATACTCAACAGGGCACCTCCTACCGATGCCATCCGGTCTCCGAGGAAGGAGAATCCACGTCGCCTTTCGAGGTTGTCCATTCCGTCACCAATCAGCTCTTCAGGAAGTTCACACTAACTACAGGTGGGGATGAACCAAAGAAAATAAGCATTTGTTTTTTAAATGCGATGCATCCACCTACGAACCAGGGAACAATGTGAACCATGCTGGTTCGTGGTTCAGTTTGTGCAAAACCATTTTGAGGAAGAAAATCGAAGCACCAAACTTTGTTCTGCTTTGGCAAAACAGATGCCCCCCCCCACACACACACACAGGGCACAACCTGAAAACTGAACCAGGGTTGGGTTTCCCAGTTCGCAAGCCATGAACCATCACGAACCGCCACGTTTCCGGTTCACGCCCATCCCCAATCCTAAATTTTAGTGGGAGTTCTTGTGATGCGAATCCCACCGATTTTTGCCAGGACTCAACCTGGCTCCTCCTTGGTGGAAGACAGCTGCTCCACCCACCACCCAGGCACGTCGTTCCTATACATGGGTGGCATTGTCGTGGTGCAAAATTCAGTGTCCTCCCTGGATCTCCAGGGAACAGCGTGGAAAACATCTCATCGACAGTGACGCAAGCCCATACAT